TCCGCGCTCCTGCCGCGATGTCGCTTCGACTAGGTCCGCGGCTTCTCTGGCGCTCGTTTCGGCGTCGGGCTCCCCGGCCGCCTCTGCGGCCCCGGGCGAAGGCCGCGTTTGCCCCTTAGCTCCGGTGTTCTCACGCAATTCGTGTGTCTGCCGCACGCCCTCCGAACAACGGTGCCCTGAACAACGGTAACTAACCCCACAGCGCTCTCCTAGGCAGCTGTGCTGCTGAGCTCTCGTGCTTTAGGCCAAAATGCTACGAAGAGTGTTTAATGTTGTAAGAAGCAAGCTTACGGTAATGTTTTAATGCCAGTTTTGCTTTTAGCTAATCAAAATACCTTTGACTGTCCAAGGTATGACTAGTCCTGGATCGTCCACAGCTGCACGTGCCTGAGATCTTTTCTCTAGCTGCAAACAGAAAGCTGGGGCAGGACAAAGACACTGTCCAGAGAACTCGGGAGCCCCAGTCCCGAGAAAAAGCACTGTGCAGGGTTAGGGCACTCGAAATGAGCAGTGATTCCTGACTGCAGTTCTATTAGCTTGAATAGGATCTGTGTCAACAGCCATCAGATAAATCTTCTGTCAATGTGCTGAATCATTCTTGCTTTTCTAAGGTAACTGATAAATATATTGTTAAAAAACAAAGAAGAATATGCTTACAAACTTGTCACGTTGAATGATGCTTATTTTTTTTGGTTGCATGTATGTCTGATAGAAGCTGCTTTAACAACAGATAACTCACCCCAGTGCTGTATCAGGAAATGGACTGGGACCAGTTTGACTTGAACCCTAAAGTAATTGCTGCCCTTAAGAAAGGTAACTTGATTTGCCAGTGTCTCATGAAGGGTTCTGGCACCTACTGACTTTCTGTACATAATTGTGCATCTGTGGGTGGGAGCGTATAGATGCACACTAACATTTTAAACTGTAATTATTTCATAAGCAACCTTTTTGAGCAATGGATTTTCCCCGTGCTACAATAATAATTTTGCAAACAAACTTGTAGGTTGTGTTGGTAGACTGAAAGGAGATGTTGCCTGCAGAGCTTACAGGAATGCAGTGTGGAGAAACCTCAACTGAATGATCAGTAGGAAGCGGGGAGACTCGTTCTTTTGTGCATAAGCCTATAATCTGAACAAAAGTATTTATAAAGAATCTTCTCATTTCAGCTGACATAAAATCAATAAAAGAGATTTTAAATCTTTCTGGAGCAGACTTGCAAAGACTGATGAAGCTGTCCAGTGCAGATATACAGTGCTTACTGAAAACAGTCTCTTATACGCTGAGGAGAAATAGTATGCTTACAGGTAATACAGTCAATACCAAAAAAAAAAAAAAGCTCTGTTTAAATCTTAAAACACTGTCACTGGGAGAAAATCAGGTTTGGGCTCTTCGTTGACACAGTAATGTTTTTCTGAAAATGAAAACCAAGTAGGTTTGTTATGTTGTGGTAAGTTACTTGGCTGTTGTAAGGACAGCTCCTCTGAAACCTTGAAGGTAGGTGGGTGTCATTCTTTAGGATTAAGCCTGCCTGAAACAGGATAAAAGGATTTTCCAGTCTGGGAAACCTGATTAGAGGAAAAAAGATTCCTTCTGCATTTTTGGCTAAGAGTAGTTGAAAAAAGTTATGATATAAACTGATTTGATATAAACACTGCATTGCAAAACAAGCAAGACCTAATAACTCCTCCTGCAAAAGTGCTTAAAGGCAGCTTTGTACTCAGAATTTATTTTCTTGTGATTTGCATATATCCCCAGGTGTTGCCCTGATGCCTGGTCACTGTTTCACAGCCTGCTGCAGTGTTCCCTCTCCAAACCTGCTGTGCTTGAACCTCACTGGCAGTTTTTTTTCCCAGAGTGTAGTTTTCCATGGAGACTCCTTGGAGGCAGAGAAAGGAAAAAAAAAAAATTGAGAAGAGAAAAGGACTTAGTGTAAAAATTTTTTGAACAGGCACTCAGTTTGTCTTGTGGGGGAAGACCAGGCTGAATTAGAAAAATTTCCCATCAGCAAAGCAAGCACATGTCCTATAGATAAAAACCTATATAGCCTAAACCTAATATAAACCTAATAAACCTTTTTATAAACCTAAACACAGCCTCTGGTTTGTATCATTGTGAGTCAGAAAGATACTAAATGAAACTTTTTTTTTTTTTCCTTTTTAACCCTTGGGAAAAAAATCCACGACCCTGCAGCACTTCAGCTCTACCAAGATAAAGACCATGTCACCTCCCAGCAGCAGAAGCTGAGCCTCGGATGTTCAGTGCTAGATGCCTTGTTAAAAGGTGGCATTCCTTTAGTGGGAATCACAGAACTTGCTGGGGAAAGTTCTGCTGGGAAGACTCAGATTAGCTTACAGCTGTGCCTTTGTGTGCAGTATCCTTACAAATATGGTGGATTAGAGTCTGGTGAGTACTGAAATGTAAATGTTGATTAATTTGCCATTTGGAGGAATATACTGTCTTTAAGAACAGCATCAGTGCCTTGAAGTAGATGCAGGTATTCAGTGCATGTCTCACCCTTCTGCAGTAGCTTTAGCAGTAAGCTGGGTAGTTAGTGATGCATCTTCATAGAGAGCAAAGCATGCTGGGCACATGCCCAGACATGACAACAGAATTTAATACAAAATTACTGTTGGCTTCTCTTTACCTCCCTCCCACTCTGGGCTAAACTAGGCATGTACAAAGGATGTCTGAAAAGCATTGCTGTCATAAGCACTTACTGACAACCACAGCAGAAGAGCTTGTCAGATAATTTTCTGCCAACATGTTGGGGATATGGTTTGTATTCCTTAGTTGAGGGTTTCAAATTTCAAAGAATATTTGGTTTGTTAACAATAATGACAGTGGTTTAGACAGTAAAATTGATGGAAAACTAATTGAAGAAATCAAACATCGTTTTGTACCTGAGATTTTCTTGGGTTTGCCAGTTAAGTATTTTTTTTCTTTCATTAGAGTATGGGGGGTTTTATCTATCACATTAACTCCTAATTTTATTTATTTAATTTAAGTATTATATGGTGTCTTAGGGAGGAAACTCGTGTCACTTCTGAGACTTCAGCATCCTGGTAGTCTGCCTTAGGTGTGTTTGAGCTGTGGTCTTGCTCTTCCTTCCATGCAGCACTGGGTTTAATTTGGCAGCTCAGTGGTTTGTTGTGGGGAAACTTAATTATTTCTTGCACTGTATCCACCCCTGTAGAAAAATCATGGAATGTCCAAATTAATATCTTGTTTAAAGGGCAGTAATTAACCTGTGGTTTACATAACTTTGCTTTAAATTTCGTTAATCATTGTTAGATTCCTTCAGGTGTTGCTGCTAACTGCTGCAAATACTTTGAATGCAAATACGTTTTTATTCATGGCCCAGCATTTCTCCCTTTTTCTGTTGAAAGAAAGGAATGAACCAGAGTGAAGTATAGAGGAAGGTGCCCAGCACCCTAATGGCACTCTCATCTTTTGTACCAGACTAAGTCTTCCTTGTAGGGCTACAAAATGGCAAGTGTTTCCATTATTTGTGTTTGAAGATGTCTCTTGTTTAGACAGGGAGCTACTGGAGAGAGTCCAGTGGAGGGCTACAAAAATGATTAGGGGACTAGAGCATCTCCCTTATGAGGAAAAGCTGAGAGACCTGGGGCTGTTTGGCCTAGAGGAGACTGAGAGAGCATCTTAAAATGCTTAAAAGTATCTAAATGGTGGGTGTAAATAGGATGGGGTCAGGCTCTTGATTGGACATGGGGCAATAGGCAAAAACTGGAACACAGAAGTTGCACCTAAACAAAAGGAGAAACGTCTTTTCTGTGAGGGTGACAGAGCACTGGAACAGGCTGCCTAGAGAGGTTGTGGAGTCTCCTCTGGAGTCTTTCAAAACCTGTGTTCCTATCCAGCCTGCTCTAGCTGACCCTGCTTTGGCAGGGGGGGTCGGACTAGATGATTTGCAGAGGTCTTTTCCAGCCCCTGGCGTGCTGGGATTCTGTGCTGTTGCCATCTGCTAGGCTGCATGCAGTCATAGCAGCAGGTGTTGTTTGTGTAGCACTTAGAAAAAGAAACTTGATTCCTCTGCAGTCCCTAATTAAGGGTTGAGTCTCTTATGAGAAATAAATAATTAAAAAGCTTATGTTAAGTATGAGGAGTCTTATTCTTCAGGAAACTTGAGGAGAACATCAGTGCTTAGTAACTTTATGTCCTGGTTTGGGTTAGAACAGGTCTGGGGGCAGCCCTGACTCTAAACTCTGACACTATCAAGGAAGTCTAGCACTACCAACAGGAGATTAACCACCGTGCTAAAACTTTGCTAATGATTTAAAGTTATGGCGGGTTGCTTATTTTTTAGTGGTTTTGCTGTTTTTTTAGTGCCAGAAACTTGTTTTAGGTGATGATGTTGAAATACATTTCTCTAGACAGTATAGATGTGTTGTGTGTTGACTCAATTTCACCTGCTGCTCATCTTGTTTACGGTTCTCAGTGGGAGGAGGCTGACAGCCAACAAAGGGAACAGGACATCTTGGGCCTCGAGGTTACCCCTCTGCCATGCCAGCAGTGTCGGTCATGGGCCATCACATCTTGCCTGGATTTATTTTATATGCCCATATTCAGAAGTAATACATGAATGTAATGTGAAAAATTCATATCCATAGTAGAATTCTGAATTAAAAAAAAAATGTTTGCTACTGGTTCTTGGTAACAAGCTGGTTTGGCGCGTGACAGATTATGTTTATAGGGTTCAAAAGTTGTCCTTTGAGGGTGGAGGTTTTAGTGGTTTTTATTTTTGGTTGGTTTGTTTGGGGTTTTGGTCAGCAACTAGCATAGCACTTTTATCAGCCTACATAAAAGCACTGAGAACTGTGAGGAAAGATGCTTCTGTGATCCTTGAAGATGATTGACTTAAGGGTGTCTCTCAGCTTGACCTGTCAGTGGTGACAGCTTCCTAACAAACTGTAAACAGCACAATGCCATAGGCTTTCTGTTTGTGTTCTACGAGTCTCCCATTTTTATTTGTTATGACAGTTCTTCTGTCTTTAAAGATATGTGAATATTAAGTGCTCCTGCCCCATAATTAGGCATTGGTCTTTAATACTGAGTTTGGTTAATTGTCCTCCTCTTCAGTACCTCCTATGGAAGGCATTGATGATGAAGTATTTTTCCACATGTTAATAATTGAAGGAGGTCTTTAATTCTCATCTGTCAAAGACTGAGGTTTTTTTTTAATTAGTGAGCATGGGTAAATTTTTTTGCTTCACCTGATAGCTTTCTGAGTATTTAAAAATAAAACTGTGTATTGGGAAAATAATATGTTTTTTAAAAAATGTTTCACCTGTGAAGTAGAGTGACTTATATAAGAATTTACAGTGGGGTGAGGGAGAGTTAAGTTGAAGGTGCAAGTTTAGTGCTAAAGAAAATTAGGCTTAGGCTCATCTTTGTCTTATATAGAAGATTCTCAGAACTCAGTACCCAATGTTACACAGGTGTCCATCAGCCAAATATTTTTCCTGAGTAAGTAACCGTTAATTTTTACTCAATCCAGTCCTGAGATCTTTCAGCTTCTGCTGTTGGATATAGTTTCATGTTTTTTTCAGAGTAACGTATAGAGAATTTGGAAGTTGCATCTGGAAATGGGACTTTCTGCTCCCTGGAGAGCCAGCATAGGGATGGACCATTGGGGCTGAAAACATTCAGGATGTCTCATGCTGCCAAGCATATCAGCTCCTGTGGCAGCTTCAGCCACTTTAGTGTGGACTTCATCCTTGAATGAAACCCCAGAAGTATTAGCTTGTGATTCTGGCTAGTTCTGCAACAACAGTAGCATTTTTTTAAAAAAGAAAATATTGCATGTATTTCTGTTTTCTTTCCCCAGGATCTTTGATGTGTGTGGTTAATCTTCTCTGCAGTAACACACACTTCTTAGCCAGAAACCATGATAAAAATATAGACATCAGTCACAGTAATGTGACTGAAGTGTTATGCTTTTCATCTAATCTGCCACTTTCAGGAAGGGCTAATTGGCCCAAGTTTGGATGAGTGATCCTCTTTTAAACTGGCTTACAAATGGTGGCAATAAGTACCCCTTCATCTGCGAATTTCAAAGCAGGAAACTCAAAAACAGCCAGTGAAATTAATCAACATACTGGTGGTACTGGCTCTGGCTGGGATGGCTAATTTGGTTCAGAGTACAGTACTGTGTGTTGGATTTCTGACCAAAGCAGGCAAACTGTGCAGAGCTGCTGTTTATGAGACTGGCACCACCCAGGGCGGGCGGTCAGCTGTTGGGCAGTGTGCAAATCCACTGTCACCTAGTGGAGACTGCAAAAATCCAGCGGTGCCAGCAGGCACCACAAAAAAGGCCTGGCAACTACAGGAAAGTCTCAGGAGTGGGTGGTGGTCGTTGTTCATTGTTGATTCAATACGGCTGCAAAAAAAAAGTAGTATGAATTTCCAGGTAGATACATCTCACTTTTGAGCACAGGATGCATTATTTTGTTGTTGTGCTGTTAAGAAAACTGCGTGTGTAAGAGCCCTGTGGGAATAACAGAGGAGGTTTCCTTGTCTGCAGGAGCCGTCTACATTTGTACAGAAGATGTATTCCCGAGTAAACGTTTGCAACAACTCATAAACCAACAACATAAGCTGCGTGCAGACGTTCCAGCTGAAATAATACAGAAGATTAAATTTGGGAACAGTATTTTTGTTGAGCACGCAGCAGACCTAGTAAGTAGTAGCACAAATTAAGAGGGCGTCATTATTACACTATAAGCCAATAACCACAGGGGGTTTGGATACAGGAGACCTTTCAAAAGCTAAAAGTGAATTAAGATCTGTAATTAATACTTCTTAATCTCTGCAATTTGCTGTTAGAGAACTATTATAGTGTTTTATGGTGAAAGATATTAAAATATAAATATTTAATTTTTTAGAGAATGAATCATGTAGTGGATTCTTGTCAGTCATAATGAAGATGCAGTAGACCTATTACTACTAGTTTTACCACAGCTCCCAGGGAGATCTTCAGTGAGTTTGGAGACAGGATCTAAGTATGTATGCAAAAGGTGGTGTGTACCCTGAGCAGCCTGCAGTCACCCCAGGGTTGTTAAAGTGCAGCTTTAGCAGACAGGAGGACAGGGTACAGAACTGAGTGCCTGGGGTGGGCGGTGGCACAGCACCACCACAGCAGCGCAGCCGCCCTGTCCTGCTGCGGGAGGATGGTGTGGTAGAACGGGGGCGAAAAGACCCAAATTCCAGTGCTGTGTTCTTGCCTTGTAAACCCAGGGGCTGGTGCTTCTTCTGAAGTAGACATGAATATCTTTACTATCGGGGTGGTGAAAGACAGGACCACGCTGTCCAGAGAGGTGGTCGAGGCCCCATCCCAAGGTCAAGCTTGACGGGGCTCCGAGGAATCCGATCTAGTTAAAGATGTCCCTGCTCAGTGCAGCAGGGTTAGACTGGATGACCTCTAAAGATCATTCCATCCCCAGCCTTCTGTGATTGTATATACACTTTATTCATAGAACATCAGAAACTGTTTTCTCTAAGGCTTGAAAGTAGCACTTGTTACATCATTCCAGTTGCTGGAGTTTTTTAGTCTTGGTTTGCAAGTATAAGAAGATTTTGTACATTAGCATGCTTGCCACACTCATTGTCTGGTCCAGACAGCAGCTAAGCTACCTTTTCTGTACCTTTCATTGGAAATATTAAAGTTCTTATTGTACTTTTGGGAAGCTACAGAGTATGTTATTGCAAAAAGGAAAGAATCACCCTACAGGAGTATGTACCTCTCTCTAAAATACCCTTAAAAGTAAAACACTACACTCACTATGAAGCCCAGCAACTGCACAAGAGATTATTAGAGTTCTGATATTGCTACATATAGTTTCAGTTTGTGTGCGTATGTGTATATACATAGAATGGATCGCTGTATGGAGATAGGCAGGTAGCAACTGAAGCAGAAACCCAAACTGCAATTACATTCTGTATTTTCTTTCACATCAAAATGTTTTTTACTTGCTTCATTCTGGAATCTGGTTGTTGGTGTGTTCACTTCAAAAGAACGAGTCTGGTACCAACAGAAGGACCACATACAAGCACTGAAGTGTTTGCAGTGCAGCATAGTTTCCTGTAGATAAACCAGTAAGTGAAACCAAAAATTCCGTTTTTCCAGAATGGAAAGCTGTCATATATTCTTCAAAGTAATTTTTTTTTTTCCAGTTTAAAAAAAAAAAAAAAGGCGTTTGCTATTATAATTTTTTTTTTTTTTTAAAAGTGGGTAATTTAGTAGAATAGATCTTACTGTAATTCAGACTTGAGAATTACAGTTCACTTTTAAAAGCTGTGCAGTGCTGGAGGATATGATATGTAATTTTGGATGTATGTAAGCTCTTAGCTGTGAACCTCTATGTAGATGTAAAGGGAAGCACCAATCAGAAGAACTGACCCTCACCTCACTAGTGTTTTTTGGTTTGTTCTGCCTCCCTCCCCCCCCCCAAGATTATGATTTCTGACGGCAAGAAGCTGAGATTATCACTGTGAGCTTGTTCTCCTTTCTACTTAGCTGTTCTAGAGCACATTTGAAGACAGGATATTGGGCTACAGGGACTTTTCATCTAATATTAAGATTCTTGTGCAGAAGTTGCACACTACAAAATATTTGTTAAACTTCCTGCAATTGAAATGTTTCGTGACTTCAAAATACTCAATTAGTAAAACTTTAGATAGGGAGGCTGTCAGCTGCAGCTACTCATGATTATAAGAGTCTTGATCATAGGGGTTTGCTGTAACAACTATGTATTTTACTGTTAGTAAGTCCTTAGTGGACCAGCAACATAGTCTTCTGGTTTGAGTATTTAATGCTTGTCTCAGGTTCTCAGTGTTTCAGTGAGATCCATGCCGCAAAGCAGAAATGGTTTAGGATTGTAGTATAGAATTCCTGAGACTGAAGTGTTGGTAAATAACTAATTTAAGTTAGAGCTGCAGATAACTGTACCTTGCAGTTTGGTCTCTGTTTTTTTGTTAAGGTGAAACGACAAGACATTTGCAAAATATGGTCACTAATTAGACTTAAAGATCCAGAAACTCACTGATGAGAAACACCATCAGCTCATGTTTCAGTGGCGCTATCTCTAGTTACTGCCTTGATTTTACAGAGTTATTTGTACTGTTCTAATGCTGGCTGTTTGTGTTTTGTGGTAGGATACCTTTCACAACTGCATTACTAAGAGGATTTCCCTGCTGCTCACGAGAGGCATGGTGCGGCTGGTGGTCATAGACTCCATTGCTGCTTTGTTTCGGTGTGAATTTGGAGCTTCAGACTCTGTTATGAAGGCTCGGTATTTGCAGACATTTGGAGCACAGCTGCACAGTTTAAGCACCAGATTCAGGACTCCAATAATGTGTGTTAATCAGGTATGACACCAGAATCGCTTCTCATTTAGTAAATGGCTGGAACCGAGTGGGAAGAAACTGTGCATGCAGATTTTCTGGTGTGATATTTAACACTGTCAATTGAGTAGGTAATGACAGATGGAAACTGAAGCTTCCTTAAACTGAAGTACTTAAAACTAGTAAATTTTAACTCCTCAAAGCTGAAGAGTATCTTTTAAGCCTTTTCAGACTGTTAATGTTCTCGAAGGTTGTCCATTGAAGCTAACTAGTGGATATGTATAGCAACTGCACAGAGCAGCAAAGTAAAATAACAGTGTTCTTAATACTATCTTCTAATGCCATCAGCAGCAGGGTTGCTCTGGGAACTCAGCGTGAACATGCACAGGAGACAGTGAAACCCCAGGGACTTTGCTGCATTTTTGCTAGCTCAGCATTTCCCTGTAACTGCCAAGGTTACTCAAGCGTTAGAATGCACGCAAGGTGGCTCGAGCTAAGCCAAAAAACGGCCACAATGATACTACTCAAAAAGACTATTCTTTTGAGAAAACTAGCCAAGATACTGCTTCAGTCCTGTAGAAGCAGCATGCTGCTGCTCTTGGTCTGACTGCAAATTGAAGGAGTGTATGAGTGCTGGAGATGAGGCATTCACATTGGACTGTGGCCAGAGAAAGGGGAAGTAAATGTGCAGGCAGGCCACTGCTGGGAAACTTCCTTTCTGGAAGTCACTTCTATCAAATGAGTAAGTTGAACTTTAAAAGACACAAACAAGAAGAGTTTTATATCAGGAAGAAAGATTCTAGAAACATCAGGTCAGCTGTTGTTTGATTTGTTTCTGTTCCCTAGGAGTTGTGGAACTGCAGGCTAGGCAGTGTGTAAAAACTTATATGTAGTGCTGTAACAGGAAGAGAATATATTAGAATTCCTGCACATCAGTAATGGGAACAGCTCTCAGGCATGCACAGGGGTTTTATTTTCAATAAAATTCCCTTTTAAGACTGGGTAGGATTTAAATTTTAGCCTTGAGTTACTCTAAATTTTTTAACAGACTTTTTCTTACATCATCTTTCATAGGGCTAGCTTTTAAGGAAAACTGAGATTTCCTGTAACTCCTTTCTAAATTTTGCTATAAGTAGAGACAATTTGTTCTCCTTGGGAAGCGTGGTTTGGACTTTGCTCTTTGTTAAGCAAAGGTTTGTGCATTTCAGCATTTACACTGTGAAGCCAACCAATGGAATTGAGTTCTTTGTCTACCTTCCGGGGTACTCTTGCATATGGGCATTTGGAAAAGGCTGTCTGCATTTTTTCTGGGGGTTTTGAGGGCTCATCTAGCAGGCAAAAGAGCTGATTTAAGGGTAAGAGAAATCTAGGTGTGTCCAGGCTGTATTTTGGAGTAGTTCAGCCTGAGAGGGGAAAAAGTGATTGCAGAGAGCTTCTCAGATCTGCCTTACTATGATGGGAGTGCTACATGGGTGATGGCTCACAATAAATGAGGTCACTGCCTGATGCTGAGTGACAACACTCTGACCATTGCCTAACAAAGGCTCCTTCAGGACTATATTCTAATGAAGGTGACTCATTACATCAAATTTGTAGTTACAGAATATAATAATTTTGAGAAAGATTATGGTAGCGAAGTCATCCATTCTGTACGTTGCATTTAAGGGAGTACCTATAACTTAGTCTGGTGTACTTTGTGAAGAACTTGTGTGGAAGAATCATGTCATTAAAAGACAACAGAGGGAATCAAGAGGTGTGACTTTTTCCAGGTTGTAGTTAAAGGCAAGCTGCTCCATTAAGCAGACCTTGAAATGTAGTGAAGGCATTGAGAGCAGGCTTAATACGTGATCCAATAACTTGGATTTTCTTGGCTTCATTCCCTTCCCTGCCCTTCTGCTGGCCAAGGGCACACACGTGGCTGCGGCGCAACTCCAAACGCTGTTTCTCTGCTGCAGGTGACGGACGCAGTGAGCGAGTCGGGAGCTGCTCGGAGCAGTGGTGGGTGAGTTATCCTCCAGGGAAGTGTCACAGCCTCACGCAGCAGCATTTGAACACTCTATTTTTTGTAACTCCAGCATAAGCCCCCAGAGCATGCTCAGCACAGCAGTGGGTTTACCTGGCAGTGCTGCAGTTGTGGCAGATCGACAGTCCCTCATGAGCTGTAAACTCGGAGAAACTGTCACACACTGGTGTGGCAATCCCAAATCAGCAGGTATGGGGGGAAAACTCCCTTAAGTTAATGGCTGGTGTACTGCTTAAGCAAGAGTACTGGTGCCTCTCTTCTTGTCTCTGATACAACTGAGTGCATTTTTTCTCTGTTTAAAAAAAAAAATAAAAAACACAGCAACCCAACCTTATCAGTTGGTTTTGTTAGTTGTTTAAGAAAAATAAGGAGTATCTTTTGACACCAAGATATTAATAGGATTCAAACATACATATTTGTTGTTTGAATCCCAACTATAATCTTCGTTTCCTAGATAACCTAGATACTACATAAATGTGTTTTTGCAAGATGTTGGTGACGTCCTCCAGACTCAAACTGACACAGAACAAGGATAAGGTTCAGTTTTTTTTCCCCTGGCTATCCTGTGATTCTTTTACTGGAGAGGTTACACTTCTTCCAGATGGGGAATAAAAAAATTAAACTTTGGGCTGAAATATGTATGCAGTGTTATATCTACCCAGTATTGCTAAATATACCTCTGAATGGAAGCCAGGGCGAAGTTACACATTTCAAATACTTAATTTCAACCATTCTTGTATTGCTGTTTTCCTACCACAAGAGGGGAGCAGTTAAGACAGAGGCAGGTATCACTGTGGCTGTAGCTGGAGCAGTGACTGACTTACTCTGTACAGAAGCACTCATTAGTCATTACCTTGCATTACCTACAAACTAGTGTGTACTTTTGTGAGTATACCCTTGAAGACCTATAGTTTCAAATATATCAAACAACAGTATAGAACCAGTAGATCACTTCTTCCAGTGTGACTTTGTTACAACAGAAGTGAAGGTGTTTCCTGTTAAGTGCACACATGCAGAAACCTGTAACACTTCCCTTGTAGCGCAGCGGACGGCGGAGTCTCCCCGGCGCTGGGAATAACCTGGGCCAATCAGCTGCTGGTGAGACTGATGGCCAGCCGGCTGTCACAGCCTCAGCAGCCAACTGCAGTTGTGTCACACCACCCTGGAACCGTCAGGACTTTAAGAGTAGTTTTTGCTCCTCATCTCCCTCCATCCTTATGCTACTATACAGTAAAACTGGAAGGTGTAAAAGGAATAAAATAAATCCTTTGCAATCAAAAGTGCTTTGTTTCAGGAGGCATTACTAGCGAGATGAAATTCTTCCTAGATGAGAAAAATGGATGCTGAAATGCAAAAAGGATGCTCTGACTACATTAAGCCTTGTCTACATTATGGAAGATCTTTGTATACTTGGGTATGTGTTCATCAGCTTTTCCTTATGGGAGAAGTATTGCAAAGGAGAGTAAAGCTGTGGGCAAGTGGAGGCTGCACAGGGAAGTGTGAAGTGGCAGCCCCTGTGTCAGAGGTAGACCTGAGCTCTCCTTTTAGTGACATGCCAGTCTAGAAACTGCATTTACTGCAGCAATGTACCTGCTCTGTTTCCAGACCCAAAGGGACTCAAATTCAACTCAGTTTGTCGCCTGCTGGTGTTTCTGGGCCTTATGCTGCTGTTACATAGACCTAGTCTTCTATTTGTAGAAATAACATGAAGCAGTGTTGTCACAAAGCAGCTATCCTAGTATAAAACCACTCATTATTAATATTAGGATTAAAAACAAAATACCAGAAAAATACTTGATTTTAATATCCTACTGTAAGAATTAAAATTGTAATGCTTTTCTACTACATGGGCAGTTCTAGTTTCCACAGAACTTCTACAGCTATTTTGGAAATGGTTCTTTACCTCTTTGTTGTTGCTTTCCAGTTCTTTCTTCATGTAGCAAAAGCCTCTTCAGAATCTTCCATTTAAAAAAATAACAATCCTCTTGTTCTCTTTGCACGCTGCTGCAGCTGTGTAACTAGGTAGCTTCAGAGCAGGGGCTCTGATCCTGCAGTTCCTGCTGCTCTGAGTGCTGCTGGCTCAGCGTGGCATCCTTCAGCAGCTCTGAGCACTGGTGGCTCAGGGTGACATCCTTCAGCTGCTCTTAGTGCTGCTGGCTCAGGGTGACATCCTGCAGGACCTCTGAGCAGTGGTGGCTCAGGGTGACATCCTGCAGCAGCTCTGAGCTCTGGTGGCTGAGGGTGACATCCTGCAGCAGCCCTGAGCAGTTGTGGCTCAGCGTGGCATCCTGCAGCAGCCCTGAGCAATGGTGGCTCAGGGTGACATCCTGCAGGAGCGCTGCTGCCTCCCGTCAGCTGCCTGGACTGCGGCTCCTCACTGCACTGCCTCTGAAGGAACCTTCAGCTGCTTTTGTCCAGCCATGGAGCTGGTACTTTTCTCAGGGTGATGGTGGTGTGGTTAGAGCTTTACATGTTCTTTCACACTTGCACTATTTATCGTGTCTTTCCCTGTTGTCCTCAGACTCCTGCCATGGCCCTGCTGCATTCAGGGTGAGAGAAGGTGAGATGAAGCTAGCACACTGTAAAGGCCTTAGACCTGACTTGGGCTGTTAGGCAGGTGCCTTCTCTTACCAGTGTAGGATACTCACCTGTATCACATACTTGCTAAGCTTTCAGATTTCCTTTCCTCTACCTGCTTCCCCAGGCTGCCCAAACAAGTCTACCCGAGTCTTGCATTTTCCTTTGTACTTTTATTGCTCAGTTCTGCCTTTTGGCAAAGTAGAACCTTTTGCTGAACTTGTATTTATTGTCTGTCCCACGGAGAGCAGACGATCACCTGGTAAGAGGCAAGTCCAGACACATTCCTTTTGTGTCCTGTATTAGTGAAATAGCCACCACAGCCTCCACCTTTCCCCAGTGCTGCTCTTTAAGGCTACAGCAGCCATCTGATCACGTGGAAGTCTGCAGCTGGTAGCAGAAAGTAAACTTTTGGCCAAGCTGTACATCGGGTCAGCTGGAGCTTTCTGCCAGAGAGGACAACCACGTATGATGGAAGGAAAAGAGACCCACAGACTCTGTGACGGCCTCGGGTAAGTTCTGGAGGGGAACAGGCACGGTCACAGTCACAGCTTGAAGCCGAATGAAGGGAACTCTAAGCAAGCAGAAAGATGAGTCGCTTTCAGCGCCTTCTGAGAGCCCTTCAGTCATTGAAGAGGACCTTGTGTAAACAGCATAATAAGTTGTCTCTAAATCTCTTTTCTAAAATACCTTAATTCTCTGTACTTGAAAATTACTGTTCTCTCAGGTGTTCTGTGATAAAATCTAACCATGAAGCTTAGAAGCCTTTGTATACTCAATCTAAGGAACAGTGCATGTGCTATAGCTCAGAGATGTGGCTACCTCACCCTTCTGATCCTTTTGTCCCACATCTTCATAATTTTAATGAAGATAAATCAGTGCAGCACAGGTAAGACCCAAACTTCTCTTTACCCAACATATTGCTTATCCTATTTTACTAATTTGATATATATATGATATAAGGAAACTAACGT